CAGGGTATTGGCCAAAGGCGTCAGAACTGGCATAGGATGATATGTCGCAATGAGACAGATACATCTATTGACCGGGGATGTTGTGAATCTTGGTGTGAGCAGTTGGCTTCTTGTTTCAGGCAGTCGTCCAATTGGACATCGCGCTGTACGCAAATGTGGAGGTGCAGAAACCCTCGCAAAAAGCTTTCTATTAACACAACAGACTCGCTGTATTTGGGCAGTATCCAAGTGAAACATTGCTGGGCAAGGAATTTTACTGCCATTAAGCTAACAACAGTGATCGAAGTAAGTGGATTTGATTCTAGTGCAACAGTGCCTAATGTTTACGAGTGTTCCTTTCACTCTTTACAGAACCTTTTCATAAAATTTGTGACTCATTAATTTATTTATTCCTTTAAGAGTACTACGGTTACAATATGATATATGTTAACCGCCTTATTCCTACTCGAATTTTAATTTTAATTTTAACCTTCTCAGTTTCCAAGTAAGAAACTTGTCGACACCATCCTCAAAGAAGTGATAAACTCCTTTGGATATGAAGCAAATCAAGAAAAGATTGAACGTGCTCTTCTCTCCGTTACTGATTTGGAGGAGTTCATCGGGAAATATTCACAATATCATCTTAATGAAACCGCAACTAAGATTTACATTCGTTGTGAACATGCAGGTGAGTAAATCTTAAAAAAAAAAAAGCTGATTTGGGAGTTTTTTTATTTCTACTACGGAGTTCACGATAAGAAATAATGCATTGTACGTGGAAGATTTGAGAAATAATCCTCTAGGGTAATACTTGCTTTAAACTATTTGATTTTGGGCGCAAGCTTTGTCACCATCAACCCTTCATCGAGTCCTATTGGCGACAGGTATCAAAGCTCCCTTAAAGGTTGTTCATACCAGCAAATTCCTATCCCGCACCAATTGTCCCAAAGAAGTCTTTCAATTGTGTGGAATCTCGTAACAGAATGTATTAAAAAGTAATAAAGGATAATAACAAATTAAAAACACTTGGAATCCGGTGCGATGATATATGTTTTATGATTGAAAAAATGATCACCCACACTTTATCCGAAATTCAAATTGAGAACGCTCCTTTGACTGATCATCATTCCAAAGAGCTTACACTGA